GACCTGGAGATCGAGAACGAGAGCGGGAACGGGAACGGGAACGGGCCTGGAAACCAGCAGCGCTCTGAGGGGAAAAACAGCAACTGAAATAAGATGAGAAGGCAGCCACTGGTAACAGTTAGTGCTGCTTTGTTTTATAGCTGAACTACAAGTGACATGACAAACCAAGGTATTACAACTAAGCTTACATGCAATGTGCATAAAGTAGTATACAAATATATTACAAACTTTTAAAGAGCAGGGTCAAGAAAAGCTTCGGCAATGCTTCTGCGGCACAATGGCAGGTCACAAAATCATTTAATAAAGAGACATTTCTTAATAATAAAGTCAACAACTAAATTTGCCATTTAAAGAGTACTATTACACTGTAACCCCCATAAACACTGGCCATATTCCTGCCATGTGAGTGACAATGAGAGGAAAACATTCTTTATCAAGGCGGAATAAATAAATAAATAAGTCTTGTCAAATGAGGAACTTTGAAAACCAGTATTACAGCTAAAAACCAATACAATTAACCTTCACTAAACTACTGATCACACTAATGAGCAATAGTCTTACTGTAATATCCACTGGTTAAGCTTTAGTTAAATCTGAAGTGTTATAACAGGGAAAACCCCAAGCTACTTATTTAACTTGTAAATATCTTCAACCCCTATGTCTGTGACCCCAGCCCTACCATGATGTCTTGCTCCTTGAGCTCCAGCTCAGTACCATCTTTGTAGATGACAGTGTAGAGCTGACTTCTGGCATCATAGCCCAGCACCTTGACCTCGTAGTACAGGCTGCTGCCAGGCCAGCGGCCCATCACCATGTCCCCACTTTGGTACTTCACAGGTGGCATCCTCACTGACCTGTGAAACAGTGAAAGCAAGAAAATAAGCATCAAAGCAATAATTCCCCAGTGAAGGGCACACCAGAACAGTGTTGCAACCGCCTGTGTAAGAACGAGCTACAGAGGAAAGGAAATACATTTATTTAAAACAATGACGGCCACTGTCATTGCACCATGCCCATTCTGTCTCCATACAGTCCACTGAAAAACAGAATGAGCTCAAACTTCAGCTTCAGCTCATTTGCTTGAATAGCAATGATAGTGGCATCACAAAATGTGAATCAGCTCACTGTCACTAACCATACAACTTTGTCCATTATGTTTACACACAGTGCAACTATGGCTGGACCATAGTATTACCATGGAATAACATTCATAATCTGACATACCACCATCATGAGAAATTATTCGGCTGGCAGAGGTAATGAAGAAAAAAATTATAACCCAATTAATAATTAATCACAAACTAAAATGATCTTACAAACAACCAATTTAGCACGAGATGTACAAAATAGCAAGTATACAATTTATCATGCTACTCACTGTACTTATCAGATTTTGTTTAAAAAGGAACAGGGTTAGACCAAGTACGCACAGAAGTCCTCACTCTGAGCTGTATGATGCTCATAAACTAAAACAGGAACAAAGGCAAATAAGTTACCATAAAGTCAAATAAGTATAACACTACTTCCAAATGGAAAGTTTTGGATTCATTAAGAGTATGAATTAGAGGGTTTAAAAATAAATTCCAACTTTAAATCATTAAAAGCATCAATCACCATTTTTGTCTGTTTTGTTCATCGTCAGGTTTAAAAATTGTGTTTATATACCTGAACTAATTTCATTCCTGGTTTAGCATTTCTAGAGGCTGGACCACCTACTATAGCAAACCCTTTAGAATGGCAAAATCCTACATTAGTGTGCACCACTGACTGAACACAATGAGGTGGACCAGGCAAGGTCAGCAGTATGGAACATTAGTGACCAGGGAGGCTCGGTGTCTAGAAAATAGCTGCACTGAACTGCTGATAGGTCTGCCCCTGCTAGCATTATCCAAAGTGGTCAGTCTGAAAGTCTTGTCACATTCAAGGCACAGCCAACCAAGCAAGAATATACACACACACAGATGTGCCTGCCAATTCTTTTATGTTCAGTTTGTGGAGAGGAGTTCAAATAGAAGGTCACACACAGCTCAGTGTTTCCCATACATGATGTATTTGTGGCGGGCTGCCACAATATGAACACTGACCGCCGTCACATATTGATTTAAAATAGGTTAAATCTTGGTTCGATGAAGTACCGTATAAAGTGTTAGGTATTTTTAGTCAGAGAGAAATTGGATAGATATTTTATGTATTAGAAATGTTTAGTGGAGATAGGATGTCTAGTTAGACTGTTAAATGCTTAGGCATGCTTATGAGTTTCTACAGGGTACATCTGGTCAAGGATAACTAGAGAGAAGAGTTGATGACTGTCAGCAGACAGGGTGTTTAATATTATTATTATGACGTGGAGAACTGTAGCCTTAGCCACAATATGCTCTTATGTTTAAGTCACAGCATGTTACTAGAGGTCGTGTGAGAATGTTTTTAGTTACACACCACTTAATCAACAGAGACACACACACACACACACATTGATTTGCTTCATGTTTTGACTACTGCTATGGCCAGCTGCAAAGCTGGCACCAGAGACGTCTCGGTTGACGTTTCTGTGTGGTATGGGGCTAGCCCAACCGAGGGGATATAATGTATAGGCCTGGTGGGTTCAGGGTCTTTCATCTTACATCTGCCTGCGAGCAGTTTGGAGGTGCAAGATACCTGAGCGTGTAATGTTAATTTTACCTGTGATCCTTTGAATAAATCAGCACTGTTTTGAAGTTACTTGGACTGCCTCGTCTCTCAGAGTTAGCAATGGTAAGAAGAACCAGTCACTCAACAGCACATATATTCTCTCAGTCCCTCTATGAACTCACACACACACGACAACGGACTGTCTGTGAAGAGCTTCTCCTCTTCATGTTTGTTTTTAATAACACAATGCTGTCAATCACGGAGATCCAACCCTAACATGTTATAATCAAGCTAATAAGACTAGATAAGCAAACGTTAGATTACATGCTATATATAGCATGAATGTATATGGACTGTTCTACAAGTGGATAATGATAAAGTTCATAATCTCTGACGCTGAATGTTTGTCTCCTCAGTCCAGGGGAATACTGAAAAACATGTGGGAAAGCTCATCAGTCTGATCAGGGTGGTTACTGATCCAATTTATTTGTTTTGAATATTTCCTGGTTTCAGTCAGTGCTGCTGAAGCAGCAAAAGAGGGGCAGGAAGAGAGAGCTGAAGGCAGAGATGTAGGAGGAGGGCAGCAGCCAACATGCTGCTGCTATGGGAGAGCAAGAGCAGAAGGGACACAAACTCATGCATAGTTCTAAGAAGTGACTTGTGTGAACAGGAGAGAAGCCTGCCAGCTGAGTTTGTGGCAAAACGTTTTACAGTGCTTGCATATTGTTGTCTTTTACTGCATATGATAATTCAAACTCAGAAAGTAGAACTCAGGTCACAGTCATAAGATGATTAGTTAAAACATTTCAAAATTAACCAGCATTGCATTTTATGACTTTCATCTGAATAAAAGACTTTTTTTCAGGTGTACATTTCCTAAAAATTGTGTTAAAATATCATCTCATTCTTGTGAACCCAATATGGTGTATCATCTTGTCTTGTATTGTCACACCCTGACAGCTGACCTGTGATTTTTGATTCAGATCTACAGAAACAACAGGAAACACAACCCTGGGGCATTTAGAGAAGAGGAGAACGTACTTAAGTTTGGACGAGGTCTTGTAGCGAAAAGTGTTTCCCCTGTTCAAAACCTGGTTTCAAGTAACGCCCCCCTCAGTGGCTGTGGTTAGAACAATGTTAGGGGAAACCAGACATGACTGTTACGCCACTATCTAACATGTGGATTGCAATAGAAAATATTTTATTAGCAGCACTTTAACATGAACTTTGACTACTAAATAACTCTGTTGTACAATCAAATCCAATGTGTACCTCAAAAATCTCCTGTATGTCTTTATAATCACACAAGAATTCTACTGATTTATAGTAAAAGCTCCAACAGTCCATTAAGAGGCTGGCTCACCAGGTTTACTACTGACAGACAGGGAGCATATGTGGACAACCCGTAATCCACTGGTAACTGATATAACCTTGTAAAAATTTAAAAAATCCAAAACATCTGAACGAAAACTCTCTGAGTGACACACCCAAAGTAAGTCCTGCTCTGCTCTGCTTTTTTCAGGGTAAGCTTATGAAAGCATCCGGCTATAACCTGGGTGGAGTTGTAAATCGAAGTCAGACAGACATCCACTTTTTAGTATGTAGTCCCCTTAAAATGTAACGTGTGAATTCCGTTGTAAACTCCCACCAGAGAGGCAATGGCCTGTTGCCTTAATGCTGCAATACATTATTATTTCATTTCCGTAGGAGTAGGACAATCAGTATTTGGCACACGAGAGAACACGCGAACTATGCAACACAACCCTACATTTGATGGTGTGCCATGTAGGGTTATATACTGTAACGTTACTATATAATACGCAGTAACGAGCTCGCTACTGTCCCCTGAGGCCAGAGGTCTGCTGGTAACGTTAACATTCCTTGTTGCTGGAGTCCGGTTATAAGAGCCGCAGTTAATGTTTTTAACTTAACCCTACGGCTACAACAAGCACCACTAACCCCATTCCACGCTGAAAATCAAACATCTAGAAATGACACAAAGGTGAGATTTATAAACAGCATTTCCGGTTTTACAAAAACAAATAAATAGCTACTTTGTGAAGGGCCACTTGTTGGGTTTGCAAACGGATGTCTGGTTAATATCCCCACCTCTGCTGGCAAACAGCCGCTTCACTCGCTTCATCGTGTTACTGTTAAGACCATTAAGATATTTTACTACTTGACACACGAATGGAAGCCTGGTCTGTCTTCCGAGAATAGTGGCACAATCCTAATACTACGACTCGAAAGCAACACATAGCCTAGGAGCTGTTTCTTTAACGAAATCCGCCTAACGTTTAGCTCCAATATAATTGCGATGCAGCTACAAACCACAGAAAGCAAAGGAGGGAAAACGTCATGCATTCAAAAAGTGTTGACGAAGAAACAAGACGCATCCTTGAAAAATAAACCATACGTACATATGAATACGACTGGTGAAACTGAGCACAGAGACGGTTATCCGGCAATATTTTAAAACATATGGTGCGTAGGCATAATAAAAGTCAACTGGCCAATGTTACAATATAATACAGCTCGTGTTTGACGAAGCCGGACAACACCGGCACCGACTAATTTCTGAACAATGTAACGTATAGCTGTGTATAGTTGATCTGGTTGCCAAATGGCACGTTCATAACGTTTGTTAGCGCAGGAGTACTACTAAATATATAAACTTTTCGGGGAACGCATAGTTATATATAACCTATCACTACTTCCACTACTTTAATTGGGCCAGTGCAAGCAAGTTTCAAGAACTAGTCTGAGCCTGTGGAGGCGCCAGCTTCTGCTAACGGTAAACCTAAATTTCCCAACAAAGAGAGACGTAAAGTTTGCTACTTTACGTCTCTTTTTACGTCTTAGACATGTACGACTAACGGATATACTTACCTCAGTATTACGCGAATAATTCCAGTGAGTAATCCCGGTTAAACAGCCCTTCACAAGTTCAAGACCTAATATATTTGGCTTTATATTTTTAAAAACAGACTTTGCTAACGTTTGACGTAACTCAGAGCTCGTTCTCCCTCCCTCTCTGGGCAAACCCCACCAGTGAGCAAGAAGGCGCGAAGGCTCCTGATTGGTTTTCTCATCATACATTTCAAACGGTTCTGTAATCTCATTGGTTATCGGTGGAGTTTAACTGAACTGAGATTGGGTTTGACGGAGTCACGACTACTTTGTTTACCGGTGTCGAGTTGAAAATGGAAGTGACAAAATGAGATGTCGCGTAATAACGTATCTAAATTAGAATATAGATAGATTAGATTAAATATAAATTTTCTTATTCATTTTCTTAACTTAATTGAGTATAGGTTATCTAACACCCCAGAGGCTATAATGGAAAAGTTATTCATATTGAAATGAACTTGATAAGAAAAGAATCAAACCAAAATACAAACATTAGGCCTAAATATTTTTATTAATATAGCACTATATAATAATATGCAATAATTTCCATCCATCTATTGTCTGTACCGCTTATCCCGAGCATATGTGTGTGTTTAGTGGGTGCAGTCCCAGCTGACATTGGGTGAGAGACTGGTTACACCCCTGGATAGGTCTCCAGTCGATCAGACAACCACATTCACTCCTAGGGAAAACTGAGAGTCGCCATTCAACCCAAGATGAATGTCGTTGGACTATACCACCCTATAATAATTCCCATTATATTGAATAATGTAGCCTATTTAACATTGGCTACAAAACAGGAATCATGCTAAAACTGAATGGAAATGTAGTCTGCTTTTATCATTCTTACATACTATGCTCACATGATTTTTTTTAAAGTGTAAGAACAATTGATACAAAGAAAGGTTGAAATTTTATGTTTTATATTGAGGGGAAGTTGTCAGCATAATAGTAGGCCCACTGTAGGCCCTACTACTCATTGCCATCATTCTGTTACTTGGGCTCTGAGGATGGATGCATTAGTAGGGTTCCTGTTGTCACTTGTTTTGAAAAGTGTCTAGATGTCATGCAAAATATATCATAGTACATTCATGGAAACATTTGCTAAATATGTTTTTTAAAAATTGGTTGTCCTCATTATTGCTATAGTGAGGAGACTGAAATTATGGAAGTCTTCTTATCTATAAAGTAAAATGAAGCCAGTGCATCAAATATGTCACAAACTGAACACAAGCCAGTGCATCAAATATGTCACAAACTGGGGAAGCTACTCTGACAACATGGTTTTGCAAGCTCTGGAAGAACATGAACTACAGCAAGCTACTCTAGGGGGAAATCTACCTTGGTTAACTAAAGCTATTTAGAAAAAATGAAAAAATAGATAAAAATAAATCAAACATATTTAGCTTGCACCTGTTGTCACTGACTTGAGCACTGGTCTAAAAAAATCAGCTTGTTCTCTTACTTGTCAGTTTTGTGCCATCTGACTTGTACAATGTACGATTTGTACCTTTTTTAGACAGTATGAACAGATTGAACACTGGCCTAAATACTGGGCCGGTCTCTTTACTTGTCAAAGCAGATTCTCTTGTTTATTCAACACATGAGCCGTCTCTCAGAGTTCTTCTGTTTGGCAATGAAAATGTCCTGGCCAACGCTGGAGAGCTGCTCACATGTAGCATGATAAAATAAAAAAATTTTAAAAATGATCCTTATATGGCTCAAAAGTGTTTGTACTGTTGTTTCAGTAGTTAGCTAAACAATTGAACTACTAAAATCATTATGCAAATATGAATGTAGTACCAGCAAGCTACAGCAAAACTGTAAACCACTTATTACTCCCCAACATTGCAAACTGCAATTATAAATGAAAACCCTTAAGTCTGTGCTAAGTATTTTAAGCTTATTTCAAATGCAACAAAACATTTTTAACATAGCCTACTATACAGGAAGGACCATGCATTTTTCAGAGAGTGATGTTGAATTTTAAAGTGTTTGTGACCGTCTACAAAAAGGACAGAAAGATGTCCCATTTGCTTTAATCTCAACACATATGACCTATTATTTTTGATTAGTTATTAAATAGTTATTAAATATTACACTTGAGCGCCTCTATAGCAAAATACACCATCAGTGATTGCAAACTAACTCAGACATGAAGTTTGCATAGAGGAGAGTTGGAAAGCGCAGTGTGCATGTGCTTCAGAGACCTGACTGTTGTGACATGTTATTGACACCTGCAGGTTATATCCGAAGCTCATAAATACAATAAGAGGAAGAAACTTGATTTTGAAAATTCAAACACTCCAATCCAATTGCAGCATTAATGTTTTCTGAGCTTCCTGTCTTTCTCTCTGCAGCTCAGTGTTTTCCTGTCTCAGTGCAACTTTTGCCACAGCACAGCCCACGTCTGAGTGCAAGTTGAATAAAACCTCAAATGATCTGCAGATGTACTGTCAGATCTCTCTGTGCTCCACCCACAGGAATTGTTGGTGTATGTGAAGCGGCACTGAAACTTTTTTCTTACCAATAAATTGTGTGTAGTTTCCTTTAAACACAGTTTTGCCCCTATAAACCAGGAGCTTAAAAATAATCATGGCAACTGCAGTTATTGCAAGTGTTACCCAGGAATATGATTAAATTAGGTAAATTCTTATGATGGATTTAGAGAATCTCCTTTCTGGTATAAATTCCATTGTCTGCTACACTTCAATTCACAAATATTCATCATAAATCCAATCACTTCAGAGATATATTCAAATGATAAGAATGTTGTTAAAGGATTTAAACATCCATTATTTAAATACATCAGCTATCTGTGGATAAATGACTTCTCTTTATAAACAAAAATACTTTCCAACCCCATCTAGTGCTTTTGCATCCCACCCTCTTTTTGCACAGACCTCCCTTTTGTTCCCTTTCTCCTTTGACATACTGTACATCACCAACCTCAGTGAGTAACCAAGTTTGTCGAGCAGAGAAAAACAAAAAAGGCAAGCTGCATTTGATGGACAGCTGTAGCAGAACATCAAGTGCACAAAGCATTTGAAAAAAAGCAGCAATCTGACTCAGCTTACTGACAGCACAGAGACAAGCACATCATGCAGGCTTAAAGAAGTTTCATGCTCTTATTCTGGGTTGGTCTTCCTCTTCCTGTTTTCTTCTGCTGACTGTGAATGCGAGGCACTGTGGGGCAGTCAGACATGTTGCTAAAGTTATTGGGCTGTGAAACAGAGGCTGATCCGGTAAATGAGGATGCACCAGGGAGAGAATAAGACCTCCTAGGAATTCAAAGTCATTATTCACTTGAAGTGAGACTACACTATGTAACTTTTGAAAAAATTACACAATCTCCCCTACACAAATGAAGCGTTAAAACACACCCTCATTTACATGCAGAAAATTGGCTGCTACTGCTTTGCCTGGTCTGGTATGATTAGTAGCTTGTGGAAGCTAATCTGTGATAGACTGGCACCCTGTCCAGGTTGCCCACCGCCTCTCACCCAGTGTCAGCTGGGATTGGCTGCAGCTCCTCGTGACCCTATTCAGGAATAAGTGGTAGAGATGATGGATGGATGGATGGATGGAAGATAATTTTAGCAAACTTTGGATACATATTGCCATATAACTAACATTACTGAGTCAGTACACTTTTATACAGAATACCTTAACACTAAATCTACTTTTTGAATTTAGTAAAATATATAGTTACATATGCAATTCACGTCTGGAGTTGAAATTTAAACAATAATACTAGCTACTATTGTGTGGTTATGTCTGATATTTACTATTCAAATCTGAAAAATAAAATGAGTAAAGCTGGAAAACATTGTTCATCATTTTAAGCAAACATTTACAAAAGAAACAATGTCTAGTCTTATATTGGAATTTTTATTTAATTTGCTCAAACAAAACAACATGTTAGCATGTAAGAAAGACTAATCAACATTAGAACAGTATGGTACAATGCAAATGATAAAAGTATTGAAACCCGTCCATGAAATACACTTCAGGCAATTTCACCTCTGCAAATATTCCTTGCAATTTCACAATTCTTTTAGTTCCCTCAGCAGAAAACCGGCTTTATGGACAAATATAAATGCTTCTACTAACCTGACACTAACACAGAGCAGACCTTGGTTTTGCTCAAAGATTTCCAAGTGTGTAAAGAAAGTTAAGCTGCTGTGACATTTAAATGACACGAGGCAACACAGAACACTGCAGCTAGAAATCATCTCTGCACAAAAATCAGTCTTGAACCTTTATAGGCCCCGTATCTCAAAGGTTTGATTGTACTTCTGAGCTGTAAGAAAAGCAACCCTACAACTGTATGGAAAGAAACCATATACTGCATTTGTTAAAAACAAAGATGATCTTGGTGCATAAGATCTTGGTGGGGAACAGTACCAAGGTTATTGAGCTCTCCCTTCAAATTAACATGACTGTGATAAAAAAAAAAAGACTAACAAAATAACTGCATGTGTTCATGATTACAGTCCCCAGGTGATATTACTAGTCATCATCTTTTACATTAAAAGCAACTTCAGAACAAGGCACAAACCACATCGCTTCACAAAAGAGAAATTTGTCTTGATTAAAACATTTCATCTGCCATCATGTCCAAAGGACTGAGCATAGAGACAGACATCTGATTTTAGAGCTCTTGACAAAATGATACAAAACTACGAAAGGCGACTTTGTTGAGAGTGACTGTGTTTAGCAGGAAGTCTCCTGCTAATCCTTTGGTGAGATAGCCACACTGTTGGCAACAGCGGTTGTAAGCGACTGTTGTCAGAGTATGTTGGATTGCTCTGTGGGGTTTTGTCTTAAAGTGCAATCAATGCTGTGTAAACAGGGACAGGAGACTCTTGGCTGGGTGTTTCCATTTGGAAAACTGGATGAAAAGATGACAACTTTAATGAGTTCGAGCATGAGACACACCTGAAATCTGGTACAAATGCTTGTCAAACCAAAGGATTAGCATCTGGATGTCTAAACTGGAATCGAAATTTCTCTTTTTAAAACATATTTGACTCACACCCAATTAAATGAGAAGAAACTGAAGGGGAAAATATTTTTTCATTGTGTGAATTCTTATCTTTTATAGCAAAGCTGTAACATCCAAGCCCTTGAACAGCTGTGTTGTATGAGAGCCAGCAGCCACTGTTGAACAAACCGAAGATACAAGGTTTCAAAGCTATGCATGAGGATCATTCTTTAGCCAGTTTAATGCGGCTCTCTACAGATTTTACACATGAAAAAAGCTGTGTGAAGAGTACTACCTAGTGTTTGAAAATAGGGGAGTAATGAAAGAGCTTTCTGAAGCCAGAAAAATAAAAGTGACTAGTTCATAGTGATGTCATATGGGTTATTGCAACCTAGGTTTGGTGACTGCATAATCTTATCAGAAACCAGTACAAACTGGTGGCATGGAGTTTGAAAAATGTGGATATTTACCATTTAGCAAAGATCTCAAAAAGATACTACCAAGCTGCATTATGGGAATTGTAGGATTGAGCCTTTTTAAAACTTGACTCAACCTAGGGTCTAAAAGGCAAAATGTCTTGGCCATCGCTGTGATTTTCTTTTAAACTGACCTGTTGCAAGTCTCCTAACTTTATGGAAGTGCAATATTAAATCACTGCAGTACCCCTTTAAGTTACAAATACTGTTGCACAGGGGCCAGAATGGAGGCAGTTCTCAGTTTGAAGCTTGTTAACATCAGGATGCCACAAAATTCACACTGTATTGCTAAATGACTTAAAGCACATTGAGCTTTTTAGGAAATCCTGTCAGCTCTGCAAGGTCACAAGGTTGTTGTTAACAGCCAAGTGTGTCCTGCAGACTCCACTGTAAAGTGACTACATGAGGTTTGATTGTATTAGTGAGGCTGTTCCTCCTCCAGATGTCATTTAGACAGTACAGTACTGTACCATTGATTTTTATCTGTTACCTTGGCATGCAGTCTTGGAGCAACAGCTGCACTTACTAGACATTAGTCTCTTCTCCCAACATATCCCTATCAGGTAGACTGTACTCAACAAATTCAGCACTGAACTGAAAGATAGGTCAAAACAAATGTTTTTAGAAGAAAATGACACTTCCCTTAGATATGTTTCTCATTTTAAGGATCTGACAGCAGCAGGAAAAGAAAGGCAAAAAAAGAGGTGAAACAAACACATCATCAATAAGCACTGGTGAAATAGTAAATGGCACGTTCATGTCCTCCCATGGACAACATCTTTTACACATTTGGGATGACAAGTGTACCTTTCAAAAGCATACACTTTTGTCAGTGCAGAAAAAAGGATAAGAATCAGTTCAGCTCCAATGTGGCTAAAGATAACAGTGTCCTTGGATTTCAGAGGAAAAAAATCTCCAATACATTTGACAGAGACGTGGTATGGTATCACACAATAACACTGTCCAACAAGGGCTCAGGAGGGCCAAAAAGGACAGACAGACACACACCTATATAGGTTCGGGATAACTTGGGCAGATGAGCTTTAAAATAGATGCTACACTTATTGCTTGTAATAAAACGTAGATCGTTAATGTAATTTCGTGGCAGACCCGTGACCCTCACCATTTAAATAGAATGACCGTCCATGCACCAAAGGAAGTACAATGATATGACCCAACATGACTGAGACTGAAAGAGCAAAAGGGAGAGTCTTCAAATCCAAACATACAGGAAGGAAGTCAGTTCTGTCGACACGTCTGGCTGTAGTCATCTAGCATTATGGACATTAGTGAATGAGCACTTTGTTCACAGATTAGGTTTGGTAGAGAGCTACAATG